TCTCAAATCCGGTGCAGAGTGAGAGAGAGCATCAGTAGATCAATAGTTTTCAACAAGAACTTACCTGTAAAATTCAGAGATCAAGTGTATCCCATCATTTGCTCTCTCTCTCTTTACCATACTTCTAATCATAATAACGCAATACAATTCTTATCAATTTTACAGTATACCTTAATCTAATGCAACTAGCTATATGAAAAAACCTAATTTCTAAACTCATTCGGATAAACGAAGAAGAAGATTCATAGATGATTGAAATATCAGTGTCTGCATTAGTAATTGCGGCGATGAAGAAAGCTCATATATACGCTTTGACCACTAAATCAGAAACCCTACAAAAAATTTGAAATCAAAAACCGAACCGAGCTAAATTTGTAATTGAAATAAACCGGATGACCGACGTACCAAACCGAACCGAATCCTTGGGGTGGTAGATATTAATTAAATGCGAATAAATAAATCGTAATTATTGCTATGATTTTTAATTAATTAATAGGACCAGAGAAAATAATAAGGAAGGGTAATGAGTCACATATATCACTTGACGCTGAATACTTACGCAGAGAAGAAGCACATGAGAAAACACATAAGCGAAGGCTAAGGATTAAAGCTTGAGATGGTAAGAGCCAATGATAATAAAGCACAAGGATCGATGACGTGGCAATATATATTTGAAATCCCGCCTAAACCCCTCAAGTTTTTTACATTTCGTGCGAAATTCAATTTTTTTCCATTTATCCTTTATTGACCAAAAGATATTTTTACAAACACACCTCCACTAGCCCCTTCTTCTTCATCTCTTGGCCTCCACTTGAATCTCGCACAAAGCGTACAAATCACAAACTCGTAGTTTTTTCTCTTTGCTCTCTCTTTCTCTCTGTACGTTCTTCGTCAAGGTAAATTTCTTCCGATTTTCTTCGGTTTGTAGTTTTGATTTGCTTTTTTTTTTCCAGTTTATATCTCGAAGTCGTCTCGTTTCGATCCGGTTAGGTGATAGTTTCTAGTGGTTTTGTGTTTTGAATCGAATATCCTCTGTTTTAGAATTTCAATTTTCTTGCTTCGTCTGTATTTGTATGTTTGCGATTTAGCAGAAATTGTGAATTCCTTTCGATTCTGTGTATCGTCGATCGCTTTTGTGTATATATAGAAGAATCGATTATTCTCTATTTTTTTTTTTGTTCTGCTTCTGGATGTTTGCGATTTCTGTAGTACTTTGTCTAGTTTCTTCGCTGATCGTGTGAATTTGATCGCAGAATCAATTATGAAAGGAGGTAAATCAAAGACTGAAACCAGGAGCTCTAAGTAAGTTTCAACCAGATCGTTTCGTGATTTTATGTAGATCTCTGAATCCGTGTTCTTATATCTATGTCGAATTCTGAAGCGTTCCTTTACTTAATTTTGCTTCTAAAGGCTCTCTGTGACGAAGAAGCCTGCTAAGGGAGCAGGCCGTAGCAAAGCCGCTGCTGCTGCTAAGGATCCAAACAAGCCAAAGAGACCAGCCAGTGCCTTCTTCGTTTTCATGTAATCACCAACTCAGATCCTTCAATTTTCTTCTGTGTTCACAGTAGTTTCCATGGAATAAAACTTTTTTGCCGTACAAAAGTTTTTTTCATATGGCTACTACGAATCTGTTAAAAGGTGAGATGAATAGAATCCTTTTGTCTGCTATGTTCGAGTCAAAAGTATCTGATAGTAGCTCAACGAATCTCTTTGTTCCTAATGTTAAT